TAACAAGAATAATATTAGTCAGAAGAAAAAAACAAAACAAGACTAATGGTGTTTGTGTATATATGCGCACTTGTGTGTTTACGTGTATATGTATGTAGACTCTCACTGTACTTTGTTTGCTCAATGAATTAATAAATAGCAGCTACTTATATGTTGTATATGTTATGTTCTCTCTGTGTGCTCGTACTGCTGTCCTGTATGTGCGCTGCAGCAATGACATTTTCCCACTTTGGGACGAATAAAAGTTCTCTTATTGTATTTTGCATTTTTGAAACTCTCAAAATGGAAAAGTTGGTAACAAATGTTGTGTTCCGTTTGTCCTTTTTGGGCTGAAAATAAACCGTGCTCTGAGCAGTACTTAGCCTGGTCTTGCAACACCATTCTTAGGTCTAGATTTGCTCCACAGGTGGGAGGGTGTTAACTCCTTTTCCAGATTGAAACGATTGGATCTGAGTTTACTGTGACGTATGTAATGCGCCCGAGTGAGTGAGGCCTTTAGCATTTATCCTAGCTTTAGCATTTAGCCTAGCTTTAGCCATCCCCTTTGCCACTAACGGAGCCCACGGGAGTAGAGCCAGAACATCTTTGCAGCAAGGACATTTGCCAAACATTCCTCTTGCTCCGGCTTCAATTTCTTGATATTTGGAGCCGAACCAGAACGGATTAATTTACAATACAATACAATACAATACAATTTATTCTTGTATAGCCCTAGGTCACAACAGAAGTCATCTCAGAGGACTTAACAAAACCATTGAAATCACCAACACAGGTCAGAGAATCAACAGTTAAAACACATGAAGAATACAGTATAAAGCACACACAGAAGAAAATGTCCATACATGTTGTAGAATGCTAAAGTGTCCTGATCATCACCAATCCTTTCTGTTGGACACTAACTGTCCAACAAGACCCTCCTGCATCGACAAGGAAAAACTCTTAAAAAACCCAGTGGGAAAAAGTGAGAAACCTTGGAGGAGAACTAGGGAAACCCACAGGGAGGGAGACCCATATGAGAAAGGGATCCGCTCCTCCGGACGGACAGACTAATGATCCAGGACCTAAGCTACAGAACGTGGACCAGTGGACGCTGAACGTGGACAGGTCCGGTGCAGGACCGAAGCACTCCCAGGCGGGTCGGGCGGGGCAGTCCGCAGGTGTAGATGGAAGAGGCCAGGCTCAGAGATCCCGTCATCGTACCATGAAACAGACAATGGGACAACGGGTGAATAGCAATGAACAAACTACAGTCAGAATCCTAAAAATGCTAAACAGATAAAGTAGGAAGGAGGAGAGGATAGTGCTCAAGTTACCATACTTCTCCCAGCAAACTGACTCCCTATGCAGCTTGACTAACACTCTGAGGAGTTTAACCCTTCTCCGAGTCTTACCTTCCTAGCCATATGCTAAACTAAAGAGGACTGTTTTAAACCTAGCCTTGAATAAAGAATAACATACAGCATAATATATAACATAATATACAACATAACACAATACATTATTGAATAATATATAACATAATACAGCATATATATATAATATATACACTACATATTATATATTACCTAATTATATGCTAAATTAAAGTAAAGTGCTTTAAGCCTGGCCTTGAATGTGGAGACCGTATCTGCTTCCTTAACATAAATGGGAAGCTGATTCCACAGTAAAGGAGCTTGGTAGCTAAATGCTCTGCCACCAACAGTGACCTTTGAGACCTTAGGGACCACCAGACGTCTGGCGTTTTGTGAGCGCAACGCTCGACCTGGTTGATACGACACTAACGTGTCTTGGAGATAAGAAGGAGCCAAGCCATTTATGGCTTTATATGTTAAGAGTAGGATTTTAAACTTTATTCTGTACTCCACAGGGAGCCAGTGGAGTGATTTTAACACCGGAGTTATGTGCTCCCTCCTTTTGGTACCTGTTAAGATCCTAGCTGCTGTATTCTGAACGAGCTGGAAGCTCTTCAAAGAGGCTTTAGGGCACGCTGCCAGTAAAGCGTTACAGTAGTCGAGCCTTGAGGTGACAAACGCGTGAATGAGTTTTTCCGCGTCACTTTTAGGAAGGAAATTCCTAATTTTAGCGATGTTCCGTAAGTGGAAGTACGCCGTTTTAGTTGCTTGGCTTATATAAGCCTTGAAGGAGAGTTCTTGGTCAAAAATGACTCCAAGATTCCTCACAGTGTTACTGGGTATTATACTGACATTATCGAGAGTAACCATCTGGTTAGTGAGGGAGTCACGCAGGCGCTTCGGACCGAGTAGGATCACTTCTGTCTTCTCCGGGTTGAGAAGTAGGAAGTTAAGAGTCATCCACATTTTAAGGTCCTTTATGCAGGCACTGAGCTTTTCTAGCTGATCTGTCTGATTAGGCTTCATCGACAGATAAAGCTGTGTGTCATCTGCATAGCAGTGGAAATTAATTCCATGCTTTTTAATAATGTTTCCCAGTGGCAGCATGTAGAGAGTAAAAAGAATCGGTCCGAGTACCGAACCCTGCGGCACACCGAATTCCACTCCAGAATAAGGCGACGAGTCCTGATTCACATTGACGAAGTGATATCGATCTGATAAATAGGATTTAAACCAGCCAAGGGCTGTTCCTCTAAGACCTATATCACATTCTAGCCTCTGCAGTAGAATGCTGTGGTCTATTGTGTCAAATGCAGCACTAAGGTCCAGTAGGACCAGCACTGACACTTGTCCATTATCGGCAGCTAGTAGTAAGTCATTTGTGACTTTGACTAGTGCCGTTTCAGTGCTATGATGAGCTCTGAATCCTGATTGAAAGACTTCAAACATATCATTTTCCTGCAGGTGGCAGCGGAGCTGCTCAGCTATAAGTTTTTCCAGGATTTTAGATATAAAAGTGAGGTTTGAGATCGGTCTGTAGTTTGTAAGTATTTCTGGGTCCAGGTTTGTTTTCTTCAGAAGGGGTTTGATTACCGCGGTTTTAAAAGCTTGTGGGACATAGCCACATTGTATGGATGCGTTTATTATATTTACGATAGGCTCAATTATCAAAGGAAGTATGTCTTTGAAGAGCCATGTCGGGACTGCGTCTAACATGCAAGTTGAGGCTTTTGAGGATGTGACCACAGAGATCACCTCTGCTTGGCTCACAGCCATGAATTTATTAAGGCCCACTGAAGAGTCTAAGTGGGAAGTCACGTATGCCGCTTCAACCTGTCCACCACTAACAGCAGGAGCAACCTCCTCCAGCTTGTCACGGATGGATGTAATTTTATTATTAAAGAAGTGGAGAAAGTCGACACTGCTCAGTGAGCTTGGAATTTTAGGCTCGATTGCGCTATGGCAGTTTGTGAGTTTAGCGACGGTACCAAACAAAAATCTACTGTTGTTTTTATTCGCTTCTATTAAAGTTGAATAGTATTGAGTTCGAGCCCCGCGAAGGGCCTTCTTGTAGTTTTTACAACCGCATTCGCCGCCATTGCCAAAACTACAACCAGCTAATTTGGTGCAAACTCTTGATGTCACGACACCTAGCTACAACACCCGCCTCCCCCGCTCACTGGATGGTTGGATGGGATACAACCGAGGTAACCGTAGCCACTAAGATCAGACCTCGACGTACATGTAGGAACTGATAATTGACCAGAGTTTACGGTTTAACTTGCAGAAGTGAAGCGAGCGGCCTCTCTGCAGCTCCATAGGTCTGAGTAACTTATGTGTAATTGGTGTCACCCAGTTGCTTCTCATTAAAGTCATTACTTGTGCTCTGTTTATGTTTGGATCAAAACAAAAAGTTATAATTACTTTTCCGCTCAGTCTCTACACAAAGGCTATTTGTATTTAGCCAAATGATTTTGAGCCGCTGCTTTTGCTGCTGGGGCCACTAATGTTGATGATAATGATGATTAAGATGATGAGTAATGATAAGCGAACAGTTATTACAGAGCTGGGAATAAATTATCCAAAATTACAGCACTTGTTTCAGATACCAGTGCATTACGTTAACATTCAAGCGAATATCCGGAGTTTCTGGAAAGTCTTGGTTTATGTATTATTCTTTTGAATTGTGAAAAAGGGATTGCGCTGTCTTTTACTATGGTCGAGTGCCATTGGTAATTTGTATACATCGATGTATGTAAGTCCCGCCCTCGGCCTATAGACCCCTATACAAACGGAAAATCGAGGCTCGATCAGCTAGCCAATAGGCTTTTACTTCCTGCAGCGGCGACTGTCAGTCAAGGTCCATGCGCATGCACAAAACCGTGCATGGCCACAAGGACGCGCATCTTCGGCCAGCGAACACAACATCATGGCGGAAAGCTCCGTAAACCCGAAATTGCCAATACCACGATTGCCATCTAAAGCTGCTCCTACATCAAAACAAAAGAAAAGTCCGGGGACAAAGTTGGCAGATAGACGCCTTCGTGACCACCGGAGAATATATCTTGGAGCGGCGTTTCAAAGGTGGAGGGACCTGCGGCTTTTGAAGGGATTTAAAACTGACCCTGAGTTGGCGATGTATCTCTTGGACAGGTAATGAAAACTTTTTAATGCCACTTTTAAACGTGTCGCTAGTGAAAAACAATACCACTGTCTTTCTGCAACAGTAGAATGTGCATAGTGTCAATTAGCATGCATCAAAGCTAACGTTAGCGTACCATTCGCTAGCAATATGTCAGCTCAGCTAGCTGGCACACTTCTACTCTGGACCGAGTCCATGTTTCATTTCAAGTCAAATGAAACTTATTGTTCGTTCTTCAATTGTCACTACATGGATTTATTGGTTTTCACGTAGCAGCTAACAATCACGGTACCCCAAAACACGTTATTACTAGCGCTACTTTTTCTGACATGTTACTTGTACTAGCTTTTTGGCTGCAAACTCCTGCAAGTCAGTGCAACGTTGTGTAGTTAAACGCCATTTAATGATTATAACGTATCTTCTATGTTTAATTTGTAGCTATCAGAAACGATCAGATTCTTCAACGTCGACACCAAGAAGAAATATTAAAAAGAAAACGACTTGTGATGCCAGCTCTTTCCAGTATTGCAGAGTCGTTGTCTGAAAGGTACGTGATCTATCCTGTTAGCATCTGAATGATCCCAATATAAAATAAAGGCTAATCCAGTAGTTCCCACACAGCAGCATTTATATTGTGTGTACACTGTAGTTTATATCAACATTTTTCCTTATTTCTTTTTGCCTCACTCACTCTACTTTTTTTTTTTTTTAGAGAGGAGGATTTCTACGAAGTACTCCCAATTGGCAGTGACGATGATGGAAAAAGGTACGTTATTCACGATATTATAATTTTTCGTAAATTTGGTGTAAACAATGTTTTTTTCAGGATACAGGCTGATGAAGTGGATGAGAATGATGTAAACAGTTTGCAGAATTCAATGTGAGTATAAAAAATGTATACAAGAAATTTAAGACCACTTGCTGCAAAAGATATGTTACAGAGCTAATGTTTTGCAACAAGTGGTCACGGGAAATTTGCCACTATCAAATTCTGCCTAGCCCTTTTTAAAAGTTGTTACAAGTTTTTCAGTCCAATGAGCATGTGTAATCAATACATCTGATCCAGTGCAGTACACCTTTCTTAGTTAATAATAATAATACAAAAAAAATATGATGTCCCTCTGTGTACAGCATTGACTGGACAGAAGATGAAACATGGACCCCATCTAAAGACACAGAAGAAGTTTCTACCTCAGAGGAGGAAACAAGAGAGGAAGACAGTGAGTCTGACGACAGTGACACGGACTACATACCAACAATACGAATCAGGTGAGTGTTATTTATGTAAGGGGGTAAAGAGGAGCCCTGCAGTTTGAGTATAAACGCATGCTTGGAGGCTAGAACAGTATGAGGTGCTGCGTTTAAACATTTCAATCATTGTATAATGAAAAACGATGAGAAAATATCTGAACTCTGAACATTGTAAAGCGCTTTGGGTGACCTTGGTCTGTAAAATGCGCTGTATAAATAAACATTACTTAATTACTAATATTGAAATGTATTGTGTAAATAAATAAAAAATATATCATTTGTATCATTTCTGCTCAGACCTGGAGCTTCACTTGCCTACAATATTGATGAGCTTCCTGTGGCCACTGTGGAGGACATTGTGTATGATGGCATAGGACAAGACCCTCACCTCCCACCTTGTGATGATCCGTCCATACCATGCAACAGCATCAGAGTTGAAACCCCAGAGGACATTGTAGGCCAGCAAGCTGCCATTGTGTATGACACCTGCCTAAAGCAGCTTGTTACATTTCTCCAAATGCCAATTAGAAGATGTCCAGCAAAAACTCTAAAAGATGAATGTGGAGCCACTGGACCATTTGAAGTTTTTCTTGTTAAAAGAGGAAGCGCTGTTCTACTGAAATGGGTATGAGGGCAAATTGGGATTTTAAAATAAGCATGGATCAATATATCTAACACACGTTTTCATCTTCATACTCTTTAGGTGTGTCTCAATGGTCATACAGTATGGCAATGGAATTCACAGCCCACATTTAAATTCAATATGCAAACGGGCGATTTCATGCTCGCCACAAACATACTTCTCAGTGGAAATAACTATTCCAAAGTCGCCCTTCTGTTCAAGTACATGAACATGGGTATAGTAGCTCAGACATCTTTCTTTGCCATTCAAGATGCATACTGTGTGACAACCATTGAGGAATTTTGGGAAGAGAAAAGAGCTTCCATAATCTCTAGTTTGAAGGATGAAAGAGTTGTTGCACTTGGTAAGTTATTTGTTTTAAAGCTATAATCAAATGTATTCAATTAATTTTTATGAATTAAACAATTTGGAATGATTGACATATACATTGTTCTGTTAAAAACACAGGAGATGCTAGAATGGACAGCCCTGGTTTTTCGGCCCAATACTGCACATACACTGTGATGGACAATGGCAGTAAAAAGATTATGAATATTGCCAATAAAGACAAGCGAGAAGCCCAGGGACATTCCACCATAATGGAAAAGTTGGCATTCATTGATAGTTTAGACAAACTTAGAAATGAAGTCAATATTTCTGAGATTTGTACTGATGCGCATACCCAGATTTCTGCACTTTTCAGTAAGTACACTACAATGTAAACTAAACAATACTAGTTATTTTTTCACAGTAACACATGTGTTTTTTCAATTAGGAACTGGAATATATAACGATTCTGGAGTGGAGCATAGCTTCGATATGTGGCATGGTGCGAAGAACCTCGGGAAACGAATACATGCTGTGAGTAGAAATTATTTTTATTTTTGTTTATTGTATTTATGCTGACCTTTGTTTACAGTCTGGCCAACAGCGGGATTGCAAAATTCTGTTGCAGTGGAAGAAAGACATATGCAATCATTTCTGGTTTTGCTGCAAAGTAGCAGATAATTATGAAAGATTCTTTGTAAGTAGTTTTAAGCTTAAAATCTTAACCTTAAAATATTCATTTTAAAGTGAATAGATACACCAAATATTGTTGAGTCAAGTGAGGAACTTGAATTGTGCCATAATTGTCTTTTTATTGTATTCTTACTAATGGCCTTTTTATTGTTTTACTTCGTAGCCCATGTGGATTGGCTTATTGCACCACGTCACTGGTGAACATGAATGGCCCTATGATGCATGCCAACATGACCCATTGGTGGAAGAGCCTACTAAGGAATGGATAAAGAAAGGATCCAAAGCACACTCTGCCCTTTCCGAAATCATTCTGAAAGAACGCTGGCTCAAGGATGTCCCAAAATATTTGAATTATAAATATATCTATATTCATCTTTTTCTTCTATAGATTGTAAAATTAAATTGAGTTTTTTTGTTTATTTTTGTAGGTCCACAGCACATTTGGAATCCTTCCACAATCATCTTCTCATGTATGCAAGTAAACGTTTTAGCTTTGTACAGCCTGTGTACAATGCACGTGTTTATCTTGCTGCTTTGGACTACAACCACCATGTTGACCGGCCTATGAGAAGATATCCTGATGGATCCTTGCAGTAAGTGTATACCAAAAGATAATCAAATCATTTTTTCTTTGTTTTAAAAATATATTTATTTTGTTACATTTAGAGGGAGAAGAGTGTTTAATAAAAAATCAAGATCCTGGGCCTTTTATGCTCTGAAGGTAAAGAAGGACTATGCCTATATTCCCTCACTTCAAAGCAAGATTGTGGCTGCTCGGATAAACAGCAACAGAGGACTCCCAAAACACACCAAACTCAGATCTAATGACCCAAGACATTTAGGGTTAGTTTGTGGTGTTCCAGCCCCATCAACAAAAGAACTGAGGGACAAACATGTCAGCCGTGGAGATGGTAAGATGTTGTATTTCAATGTTGTTTATTTTTTCCCCTCTGATAAGTTGTTTAATTTCAGCAGGTCAAGAAGAACGGCAATAGATTTGGAATTTTTCCTGCAACAATAGAATATTTATTCTATTCTGAAGTTTGTAAATAAATGTATATACTTTTGTTGAAATGCTTTGCCTGTTGTAATTACAGCACATAGGCATCAGATTCAATTAGGATCCTTTATTAAAACACACACACACACAATCCTTTCAACAACACTTTACAATATAATTAAATTATAATCGTCTGGGAATGAAGCCGGTGTAGATCCCATTCGGATCAGGGTATTTCTCTCTTATTCTCCATACCACACAACTTGGAATGACCACCCTGTTGCGAGCTCCCAGTGTGCCATACTGCCATGAAACGTATTGCCTATATGCAGCATGGCGAAATTGTCTGTTGTCCTCCCCTGGTTCCGAATCATCATGAAGTGCGCGTAAGTCATTCCACAGATTCCTCGCCAGTCGCAAAACCCCTCCGTCAAGAATCAGAGTCTGCATGTGCGGAGCAAGAGAAACGCACAGGGCAGGGGATTGCTGGCAGCATTTTTCAGACATTTTTCAATGTCTGTTGGCATGTCTTTACAGTGGCTGCAGACACACCAAGTAGGCTGATTATCTGTAAGCGGGTCTCGTGCAGCTGGGCCTGAACGGTGCATGATGCCAAGGAGAACGCCAGGGTTCCTCTCCAACACTTCCTGCAGTACTTCCAGAGCGTCCTGGTGGCTTAGGCTTTGAAGGAGTTCCTAAGAAATATACACATAGTTGTACAATAATAAGACAAGTTCTATATGCACATAAACAATACCTTTATTTGCCAAGTTACTCAGTGTTATACATAAGAGATTACTAGTTTTAATGTTATGTTGTGATACAGGCATAACAATGGTGTTGGACCATGAGTCCGTAATAAAAGCTTCATTCATTCAATATTACACTCTATTTGTTGTCTTTTGAATATATTCCACTAACCCTAATAATTGTATAGTAATGATACAATTTTAAGTGGTTTCTATGTACAATTTGTTTTATGTCACACAAGTTCTATATCTAACCACAGCGAGAACAGCATGTGGAATTCCAGTGCATCTAATGGTTACCCATTACAGTAACTAGTAATATAACGATTGTTATCTATAATATACTCCTAACACTAGTTTCGTACAACCAAATGAAGACTTCTCAAAATGTATTAACATCTAAATACCCGTTCAAAGTTGATGCGCTGGGTTCGAATCTCATGAACACGTGCAGAATCCTCCAGGCCTACGTTGCCAGCACTTCGGCCTCTCGGGGCACGCCGACCCCGACCCAGTCCACGGCCCCTGGACGTAGACGGACGGGCTCGCTTAGGTGCTCTGCTCGTCGGGGTGAAAGGGGGTGAATCCTCGTCAGAGGACGACTCTGCTGCATGCGAACTCTAAGCAGCAAAACACATATATATGTGACATGTGATATGCAAAGCAAAGGGTCAGCTCTAGCTATATAACCTATATTAGCAATTTAGTTGCGACGATTGATAGTAACTAGCAGAATTAGCAACGTTAGCATTGCTGCATATAGGCAATATTATGCAGTTCTTAGACAAAATGGATAAAATTCTTAAATACATGCTTTGTCTTACCTCAGAAATGTCCATCGCCACGAAATGAAATAAAAGAACGAATATTTGCGGACCTTCCAACTTTGTTATGTTCGGCTCAGCGCGTGCACAACCGTAGAGGCGTGGCTTCAAGAAGATTGACAAATGCAAGGGAGGGGCTAGGTAGCGGCATAGTGCCGTTCAGGTTTGAATTTTCACGCCCTCTTTTCATCCTCCGGATATTCGCTTTAACGTGTGGTCACCATCGTACTGTAGATCTAATATCGGTATTTAACTAACATCCAAACATCAACATTGTATTCAAACATTATCTAATCCTTGTGTTTGATTTACAACCTATGGGGAGTTATTCAAGATAAATGGGTTTTATACTGTGTGCCTTTTTTATTTGAACATATAAAGACAACAAACTAAAGGCGTATACATACTGCAGATATATTGTTTTATTCTGTTTTACTTCAAATGGTGTGAATTGTTTTACATTGATTCAGATCCGATTCATTGTATTTGCCATTTGCAGTAAAACCACATTGGAATACATTTACCCAGTCCCCTGTGTGCACAAGACAAGTACAGATAGAATTGGACACTTGAAAATAGTTCATGTAATAATCTGTAAAGCACTTGTGTTACAGCTTTGTATGAAAAGCACTGTACAAATACAGAATGTTTGATGGGTGAATAAAACCAACCTTCACTTTCATGGCTTGAGATTGAGATCAATTGCATACAATGAAAGAAAAACAATTCAATCCAGGGCTGGTGCAGCTCTGACTGACACCCCCCGACCCAGACTTGGATTAAGGGGAAGAAAATGAATGAATGAATGAACAATTCAATCCAAAGCTGGCTGGAAGTTATGCTTTTGCACTTGGGTCTCAGGCACCATCGTTGTCATACGAGTTCATTCTTGTGGATTGGAGACATCTCCATTAGTTTGTGCATAAGGCTCCGTGCTTTAGGCAACTGTTAAGATGTTGACTTGCCGTTAACCCTTGACATTTTCCTGTTGGAGTGAGTCAGATTAGAGGAACACACACACACTTGCAGAATCCCATGGACACACATGGTCTTTTGCTCTAATGTGAACTGTCAGCTCTGTCACATTGTTTTGACTTGTTACATCGACTCATGCTGCAGGCCAAAGCTTCTTTGTGTGAGAAATCAATTGTGGACATATTGTTTTTGTTTGAATTACTGATGAAATTGTAAATGACATGATCTGTCAAAAAACATTGGCTTAAAAAAAAACACATTTAATCCCTATGTGTGTGTAAAAGAAGATAAATAATGACTATGGACACCTGATTTGCCTGAAGCACCAACTCGCTGTCATCACTGAGGAGGCAGGTGTAGTTGACAAGCAATGGACCTGAAACAAATCCCACTCTATTCTCGCTATTTATACTTGCGCCTTTTGCCTTCATCGAAATATATGAGCTGTGTGACGATCTGTAAGCTTACATCAGGTTTATTGCAAAAAGGGCAAATCAGCTGCTGTCATGTATTAATCAAAGAAATGCCCGCACCATACTAATGATGCAATGTTGGTCTTTCAAGTGTGGAGTGGGAGGAGGAGGAGAGTGTGAAAGAATGTGTTAGGTCTCAAACTAAAGGTCAGACAACACCGAAAAAAGAATCACTCCTAGCCGATTCCCATGGTGAGTTTACAAGGGAGGACTTTCACACAGGATCATACAGCATAAGGTTGACACCCTGTCTCTAGTTTGGATATATTTTTGACATGATGAGTTTGTGGAGAGACAAAACCTGAGCTGGAAATCAACCCGTACTTTGTTTGTTTGTTTTTTACTTCCCCATTAGCTATTGAAACATATAGTGGCTATTCTTCCTGCGGTCTACTGTATGTATTCAGCAATGTTAGGTTTATATTAGCCTGGCCTTATCCATCCGTACACTCCGCTCAATCCTCATTTCCTTGCATGTAACGTCTGAGTCTGGTCCCCATGTTAGCGATTACAATCGGATGAATTTCGACCGATAAATCAGCGAGCGTGGGAGGCGGGTGTTGTAGTTAGATGTGGGTGACGTCAGGAGTTTGCGTCGAACGGGCAGGTTGTAGTTTGGCAATGGCGAAAAATGCGATAGTAAAGTATTCCGGTCTGGTTCTATCAAGAAATTGAAGCCGGAGCAAGAAGAATGTTTAGCAAATGTAATCGCTGGAAAAAATTGTGGCGATACTCCCCACGGGCTCCGTTAGCGGCAAAGGAGATGGCTAGGCTAAATGCTAACAACAGACTCGGGCGCACTCCATACGTCACGGTAAACTCAGATCCAATCGTTTCAATCTGCAAAAGAAGTTAGCCCCTCCCACTTGTAAACGGAGCTCAATGGAGCGAATCCAGACCTTAGTACAAAATGTAATGTGTACTATGGTGTGGTACGACCAGGCTAGGTTCATATACAAATTGACAAAAATGAATGTGCAAGAACAACTCAGCTCAACTCAAAAACCTTATTGTCCCCAAGGGGACGTGGTGGAGCAATAAGATAAACACTACGAACAATACAATACAATAAGAGAGGAAACATGTGCAAATCTTTCAAAAGTGTCCAACAAAAGCATACTGTTATTACATACTTAACTCCAACTAAAGTGAAAATATTTACTAGGTCAGAGGAAGACAGAGGGCTTGGTGGCAGCTATAATTTTTATTTACTGTCTAAAATCAGAGCAACATATCAAAATCCAGTAGAAAGTGGAGTTTTTATCTCGGCCTGTCACTCTTTTTGCAGTGCTCGCTCATCCTGGTCACGCTGCCCTTCGCTGTATCTCAGTCTCCATCTGAAATGGGCACGACACTCAGAGCCAAAGTGGTGTGTTTGTGTCCAACAGTGTTAAGCATCTTCTAAAAAGTAGTCTTCTTATCCGCGGCTTTGCATCCTCCATTCTATCTTCACATTGAATCCTCTATCCGACCCTTCCTTCTCTTTTTTTGAGTCCTACAGTGAAGTTTAAATCTGCTTTTGGTTTTGAAGCGGTTTTCATGTCCTTGTGTGCCCTTTAGCCCTCCAGGCAGTGTGCCGTTTGTATGCTTGTTTGTTGGCATCTCAAAAGCTGTGGTAAGGATTAGAGTCAGCGGTGGCTACAGGCAGGACTGTGCCTCTAGAGCAGAGGTTTTTATTCGGGAATGGACACTCATAGATGGGGTATGGTTTATTCTGACTGAAGTATACAACATGGTTTCATTTGGACTGAAAGGTTACATTAAGTAGATACATTGCATTCTCTTTCACAGTGAGGCTTAATCTCCTGCTTTAATCCTTCCTGCCAGTTTTGTGAAGGTCTTATCTGTGTATCTGTGTAAATGGTGGTGCTATAATAGCATAAGACATGTGTGGGAGTGAGCCTTATTAAAGCTGGTCATGTGAACCTTATTTCCTGAAGTGATAATTACATACAATTGTATCACTCGCTATATGTGTAAATATCTGTATGTGCTTCTCCAGCATTTTATTACTGTGGTCTGTTATTAAAGCAACACAAGCGTAACACACGTCTTAAATGATATTAATTCATAACTGAATTAAGTTTATCGATGGAACCTTCATCAGGCCTTTTCTCCCAGCAGGTTGCATCTATCTTTACATGATTTAAATCATATTGCATCATTGCTACGCTTAAATATAAAGACTCCTTTTTAAATGAATAACTTCAAAAGGCCCTGTGTTTTATTAAAATAATGATATTTACGTCGGAAACAATGTAGCAAAACTCATCCTTATGACAGTTTAGCACTTAAAATTATGTAAATTCATTTCAAATTTGACACAAACCCTTGGACCCACACTGCTCCGTCCTGTAGCCAGAGTCCACAGCAGCTCAGATGAAGATGATCCAGAGCTGCCTCCTGCACAACAACAGCTTCACTTCATCAGGACACAGAGGCCAAAAGGACCAAGCCCCAGGTCAGGACTGTCCGTGCCAGAGTCAGCTCTGCTGTTAACTGCTGCTGCTCCTGGCACATCAGTCTGGAAACATCCAAACAGAGAATGCAGTTTTATGTTCAGTGCAAGAAGCTGATGGTCAGTAGTTAACATTTGGTTATAGTAGGTCTTACTGGGTCTGGGTTTGGCATCAGCAAAACTCAGCCCTGATGCATGTGAGCATCGAATACACAAACAGCTTCTTTGTTTAACATCCACTTTGCTAAAGCTGCTGAGAGGTTCTCTGGGTGTCCTGCTCCTCAGTCTTTTTATGACTCGGTCCAGTTGTTAAGTATTTTTGCTGTATAAAAGTTTCATAATTTAATCCAGTTTCCTAGGCCCTGAGCATCAGCATGGTTCCAGACAGGTGCACAAGTGTGATTCCTGAATCACTTATGTTAATGGAGTTAATTGCTTCGTTAAACAATCACTTACCCCATCATCGCTGTCCCCATATGTCATTATGAACATGGCAGTGTTCTCGGTCTTCCACATCCCTCACTTTGCCCCAAATGGTGTAAACTCTACATCTGCCTTTTGGATGGATTGAGAGATTAAATATTGAAATGAAGGAGAAATTGTGGGTCGTGACAGCTGTGGAAATGGGGGAGAGCATGGCTCTTCTGCAAAGACAACCTGATTAGAGATGCAGAGATTACCACATGTTTCAGTGCATTACATACGTGATCTGAATTATGCACATTAGGAAATACTTTATTTATTGAATTAGTAACTTCACGTAGTATTTCAACATTTTCCTAAACACATGATTTTTATAACACACAGGTATTGTTGTTCAATGTAGACTCAACCCTCCTGGAAAAGGCCCCCGTGCTCTTCTCCAGGCACATTTCCTCCTTTACTATTATTCCA